ATGGCCTCGACGGGCCTTAACGGGTCCCCCTCTGCTTGCGGACGTCCTCCCATGCCTATCAAGTCCATTTGATTCGTAGCGCCGTTGGTCCACCCGTGTGGCACCATCGCTACCGCTTTCGCCGTTGCTGTCCTTCCACGCCCTCTCTGCCATCTCCATCTCTCTTTCTGCCTCTCCATTTGCCCACCTTGCTGCTTTGCTTCTCTGATTTTCTTTAAATGGCGCCGCTGGTGAAATGTGCTCCGCGGGATGTTCGCTGCACGGCTGTCCCAATGACTTGCCCCACCAGATCAACACACCGATCTTGATTCCTTCCGCTTCCACTCCCCACTGCACTTGCCTCCAAGCTCCACTCTTCCGCCACAACCTCAATCAAACCCCCTCTCACTGCAGCCATGTCCGCCTACCAGAACGAGCAACTCCGTCGAGGTGCGCCGTGCCGAGTGCGCGCGGCTGCAGGCCAAGTACCCGGCGCACGTCGCCATGGTGGTGGAGGCCGCCAAGAGCAGCAAGGCGCACTTCCTCGCGCTGCCCCGCGACGCCACCGTCGCCGAGCGCTAGGCGGCCGTGCGCGCCGCCCTCAACGGCAAGAAGCTCTCGCTCATCATCGACGGCTGCACGCCCGCCGCCGGCACCGCGCTGCGCGACCTCAGCGACGCCTGCAAGCAGGCCGACGGCTTCCTGTACGTGGCGGTGCGCGCGGAGAAGGCGATGGGCGCTGCTGCCAGTCCCTGCTTCTCCAACGACGCGGCTGCTGTGTAATCCCCTTTAGAGGCGGATGCCATGTGCATAACGGTTGTTTCTCCGTTGTTGTTTTTTTGTTTGTTTTTCGTCAATCTCTATTCCTTCAATGCTACCTGTTTACCATCCAAATCATTTGTTATTCTTTTCTGTTATATCGAGTCAATAATATAAACGATCTTGCGGGCTTGTCTTCCCGCTTCGGGTGGTCGGCCTGCAGTATGTGTGCAGTAAAAAGTTATTTGATATGTTTTCTCATTCGCGCAACGTCTTTACTGGTGGTTGTTGTTCGACTTTCTCAGTGTCCTTTTCTCCTGCTTCCTGAGCGGTTCTCTGGGCAGTGCAGGCGAGTGGAAGGGAAAACGCCGACCATCGTAATTCTCCGAAGGGAAAGGATTGTTGCAATCACGGGACAAAGGAGCTCTTTTAAGCGTGTACTTCTCCGTGCGATATCAACGCTGAAAATTGTCTGCCAAACTACCTGTACGCCATGGGTTTTTTCTTCGGTGGCGCCTCAGTGAAGAAACTCTGTCATCGGTGCTTTTTCGCCGCCTTGCGAGCTTGCGGCGAACGGCAGTGAAGTGGTGCGCACCTCCCGTCGCTGATCAGCTCGCTGACGTGAAAGCGAGCGGGCAACGTAACAAACAGGCTCCTTGAGCGTGTCTTTTATCAGGCCATATGCCGTTGGAAGCGCACTCGTCCTCTAGCACACGAGCCGTTTCCAGCGCGAGAGCTGCGGGACGCCCAAAACGGCAACCAACAATGTGGTGCGCGTCATCGGTGTTGCCAGTGTCTATGACGACTTCCCTGTCTTCCTCTGTTTCACTGCGTCTCCCCCTCCCCATCAACGCCATTCTGCTGAAAGCGACTTTTCTGTCTGCTTTCGATCCCCAACGTCACCTGTTTTTCCGTTGTGCGCGTGCATGCTCGCCGCAGGTGTCTAGTGATACTCGCCGCTTTCTCTCCCCACAGCACACACGTCTTTTCAGCACGTCACCTCCGCCTCCTCCTCTCTCTTTTCCGCTCCTCGCTCATCTGCGGGTTCAATTGAGGAAGGTGCACGTCCGCCATGTCCTACGCCAAGTCCGTCGCCGTGAGCGTCCGCACCGCTGAGTGCCGGCGCCTGCAGCAGGAGCACCCCAACGAGATTCCGGTTGTGATGGAGGGCCCCAACGGTCGCGTGCACTTCCTCACCGTACCCCACGATGCCACGGCGGCCACGCTGGAGGTGGCGGTGCGCAGCGCAGCGGCGATCACCGGCAAGAAGCTCGGCATCGTTGTCCGCGGCTGCTCCCCCGCACCCTCCACCGCCATGGCGGACCTCTACGACGCCTGCCGGTGCGAGGACGGCTTCCTCTACGTGGCGTTCCGTGGTGAGGGTGCCATGGGTGCGCGCAACATCTACTGCGTGGGCAACACCGGTAGATACCTGGAGGACATCGAGAACAACCCGGATCTCTTCGGCTCCTACACGGCGTGATTCTCAGGGAGTCGACCCTCCTTGATGATATCACGTCTCTTTTTTGTTTCCTTTGCGCCTCTGCATTCAGCTTGTGAGACGGACGCAGAAGCACCGCAGTTCTCGACGGGCTGACGCGCTTTTCGCTCTCTTCGGCACATGTGATAACTTCCTCCTTATCTCTTCGCGAAAACAATCTCTTTGCGGACGCGACAGCAATGGATGTGTAGAAAAAAGCACCTTCTTCTTTTGCGTCATCTGCCCGTCTGCTCGCGTAGCAGAGCTGTACTTGGGAGACACACAAACGAATTCCGCAGAGCACAACGAACACAGGCCGATGGCAGCGGACGACGCTTCGTCACGACAGCGCAGTGGAGAGGACGGAAGAGACGCCGTTTCTTGAAGAGCGTGACGGTCGCAGCGACGTTTCGTTTTGGTTGCGCTTCATTGTTGGCGCGCAAAGGTGTGCCGCGTATCACTCTTGACCTGTCGCGCGCATGCCGCTTTCGTGGTGCTGTCGCCGTTCCCCGTGTGTCTACGCAGGTAGACGGGGAAAAGCACCCGAAATGCGACTGTTTGGCGACGAGAGTGGGGAGCGTAGTGTAGCGCATCCAATTAAATGCACATACGCCTTGCGCTGCGGCGCGAGGTGCGTAAACGCAGTCCCGACTCGCGGCCACCTCCGTTCTATTTTCTATAAAGCACAACTCCCTCAGCTTACGGGAACTGTACCGCCGTAGTCGCACTTTCTTTTCGTCTTGATCCGCTGGTTGCAGCGCACGTGGCCACTCGCGGCGTGGAAAGGTGTCGTCGCGCGTCTCCTGCGCAGCAGCCAGACAACGGATGATGTGCATGCTTCATTGTCTTTTTCTGTTGGTGGTGGTGGTGGGTTTCGTTCCCCTCAGGGCGTATGCCTTTGTCGTGCATGTGTTGAGCGTATCCGCCTTTCTTTCGTTTTTTCCTCTACTCTTTTCTTGATTTCCATGTGCAAACCCCTCCTTGCGGCGCAAGTCGCGTCGAGTATCATTCGCAAACTGAGTTTTTTGCTTCCTCTTTTCCTCTTTTCTGAATCGCGACGCTCTTCCCTATTGAATACACGCGCCGGCGCTCTTTCGGTGCCTTCTAGCAGCTTTGTCTGGCGACCCGGTGTAGGGCTCTCCTTTTCTGCGCGGCTGTGGACGCAAGCAGAAATGCGCATGGCCTCGACGGGCCTTAACGGGTCCCCCTCTGCTTGCGGACGTCCTCCCATGCCTATCAAGTCCATTTGATTCGTAGCGCCGTTGGTCCACCCGTGTGGCACCATCGCTACCGCTTTCGCCGTTGCTGTCCTTCCACGCCCTCTCTGCCATCTCCATCTCTCTTTCTGCCTCTCCATTTGCCCACCTTGCTGCTTTGCTTCTCTGATTTTCTTTAAATGGCGCCGCTGGTGAAATGTGCTCCGCGGGATGTTCGCTGCACGGCTGTCCCAATGACTTGCCCCACCAGATCAACACACCGATCTTGATTCCTTCCGCTTCCACTCCCCACTGCACTTGCCTCCAAGCTCCACTCTTCCGCCACAACCTCAATCAAACCCCCTCTCACTGCAGCCATGTCCGCCTACCAGAACGAGCAACTCCGTCGAGGTGCGCCGTGCCGAGTGCGCGCGGCTGCAGGCCAAGTACCCGGCGCACGTCGCCATGGTGGTGGAGGCCGCCAAGAGCAGCAAGGCGCACTTCCTCGCGCTGCCCCGCGACGCCACCGTCGCCGAGCGCTAGGCGGCCGTGCGCGCCGCCCTCAACGGCAAGAAGCTCTCGCTCATCATCGACGGCTGCACGCCCGCCGCCGGCACCGCGCTGCGCGACCTCAGCGACGCCTGCAAGCAGGCCGACGGCTTCCTGTACGTGGCGGTGCGCGCGGAGAAGGCGATGGGCGCTGCTGCCAGTCCCTGCTTCTCCAACGACGCGGCTGCTGTGTAATCCCCTTTAGAGGCGGATGCCATGTGCATAACGGTTGTTTCTCCGTTGTTGTTTTTTTGTTTGTTTTTCGTCAATCTCTATTCCTTCAATGCTACCTGTTTACCATCCAAATCATTTGTTATTCTTTTCTGTTATATCGAGTCAATAATATAAACGATCTTGCGGGCTTGTCTTCCCGCTTCGGGTGGTCGGCCTGCAGTATGTGTGCAGTAAAAAGTTATTTGATATGTTTTCTCATTCGCGCAACGTCTTTACTGGTGGTTGTTGTTCGACTTTCTCAGTGTCCTTTTCTCCTGCTTCCTGAGCGGTTCTCTGGGCAGTGCAGGCGAGTGGAAGGGAAAACGCCGACCATCGTAATTCTCCGAAGGGAAAGGATTGTTGCAATCACGGGACAAAGGAGCTCTTTTAAGCGTGTACTTCTCCGTGCGATATCAACGCTGAAAATTGTCTGCCAAACTACCTGTACGCCATGGGTTTTTTCTTCGGTGGCGCCTCAGTGAAGAAACTCTGTCATCGGTGCTTTTTCGCCGCCTTGCGAGCTTGCGGCGAACGGCAGTGAAGTGGTGCGCACCTCCCGTCGCTGATCAGCTCGCTGACGTGAAAGCGAGCGGGCAACGTAACAAACAGGCTCCTTGAGCGTGTCTTTTATCAGGCCATATGCCGTTGGAAGCGCACTCGTCCTCTAGCACACGAGCCGTTTCCAGCGCGAGAGCTGCGGGACGCCCAAAACGGCAACCAACAATGTGGTGCGCGTCATCGGTGTTGCCAGTGTCTATGACGACTTCCCTGTCTTCCTCTGTTTCACTGCGTCTCCCCCTCCCCATCAACGCCATTCTGCTGAAAGCGACTTTTCTGTCTGCTTTCGATCCCCAACGTCACCTGTTTTTCCGTTGTGCGCGTGCATGCTCGCCGCAGGTGTCTAGTGATACTCGCCGCTTTCTCTCCCCACAGCACACACGTCTTTTCAGCACGTCACCTCCGCCTCCTCCTCTCTCTTTTCCGCTCCTCGCTCATCTGCGGGTTCAATTGAGGAAGGTGCACGTCCGCCATGTCCTACGCCAAGTCCGTCGCCGTGAGCGTCCGCACCGCTGAGTGCCGGCGCCTGCAGCAGGAGCACCCCAACGAGATTCCGGTTGTGATGGAGGGCCCCAACGGTCGCGTGCACTTCCTCACCGTACCCCACGATGCCACGGCGGCCACGCTGGAGGTGGCGGTGCGCAGCGCAGCGGCGATCACCGGCAAGAAGCTCGGCATCGTTGTCCGCGGCTGCTCCCCCGCACCCTCCACCGCCATGGCGGACCTCTACGACGCCTGCCGGTGCGAGGACGGCTTCCTCTACGTGGCGTTCCGTGGTGAGGGTGCCATGGGTGCGCGCAACATCTACTGCGTGGGCAACACCGGTAGATACCTGGAGGACATCGAGAACAACCCGGATCTCTTCGGCTCCTACACGGCGTGATTCTCAGGGAGTCGACCCTCCTTGATGATATCACGTCTCTTTTTTGTTTCCTTTGCGCCTCTGCATTCAGCTTGTGAGACGGACGCAGAAGCACCGCAGTTCTCGACGGGCTGACGCGCTTTTCGCTCTCTTCGGCACATGTGATAACTTCCTCCTTATCTCTTCGCGAAAACAATCTCTTTGCGGACGCGACAGCAATGGATGTGTAGAAAAAAGCACCTTCTTCTTTTGCGTCATCTGCCCGTCTGCTCGCGTAGCAGAGCTGTACTTGGGAGACACACAAACGAATTCCGCAGAGCACAACGAACACAGGCCGATGGCAGCGGACGACGCTTCGTCACGACAGCGCAGTGGAGAGGACGGAAGAGACGCCGTTTCTTGAAGAGCGTGACGGTCGCAGCGACGTTTCGTTTTGGTTGCGCTTCATTGTTGGCGCGCAAAGGTGTGCCGCGTATCACTCTTGACCTGTCGCGCGCATGCCGCTTTCGTGGTGCTGTCGCCGTTCCCCGTGTGTCTACGCAGGTAGACGGGGAAAAGCACCCGAAATGCGACTGTTTGGCGACGAGAGTGGGGAGCGTAGTGTAGCGCATCCAATTAAATGCACATACGCCTTGCGCTGCGGCGCGAGGTGCGTAAACGCAGTCCCGACTCGCGGCCACCTCCGTTCTATTTTCTATAAAGCACAACTCCCTCAGCTTACGGGAACTGTACCGCCGTAGTCGCACTTTCTTTTCGTCTTGATCCGCTGGTTGCAGCGCACGTGGCCACTCGCGGCGTGGAAAGGTGTCGTCGCGCGTCTCCTGCGCAGCAGCCAGACAACGGATGATGTGCATGCTTCATTGTCTTTTTCTGTTGGTGGTGGTGGTGGGTTTCGTTCCCCTCAGGGCGTATGCCTTTGTCGTGCATGTGTTGAGCGTATCCGCCTTTCTTTCGTTTTTTCCTCTACTCTTTTCTTGATTTCCATGTGCAAACCCCTCCTTGCGGCGCAAGTCGCGTCGAGTATCATTCGCAAACTGAGTTTTTTGCTTCCTCTTTTCCTCTTTTCTGAATCGCGACGCTCTTCCCTATTGAATACACGCGCCGGCGCTCTTTCGGTGCCTTCTAGCAGCTTTGTCTGGCGACCCGGTGTAGGGCTCTCCTTTTCTGCGCGGCTGTGGACGCAAGCAGAAATGCGCATGGCCTCGACGGGCCTTAACGGGTCCCCCTCTGCTTGCGGACGTCCTCCCATGCCTATCAAGTCCATTTGATTCGTAGCGCCGTTGGTCCACCCGTGTGGCACCATCGCTACCGCTTTCGCCGTTGCTGTCCTTCCACGCCCTCTCTGCCATCTCCATCTCTCTTTCTGCCTCTCCATTTGCCCACCTTGCTGCTTTGCTTCTCTGATTTTCTTTAAATGGCGCCGCTGGTGAAATGTGCTCCGCGGGATGTTCGCTGCACGGCTGTCCCAATGACTTGCCCCACCAGATCAACACACCGATCTTGATTCCTTCCGCTTCCACTCCCCACTGCACTTGCCTCCAAGCTCCACTCTTCCGCCACAACCTCAATCAAACCCCCTCTCACTGCAGCCATGTCCGCCTACCAGAACGAGCAACTCCGTCGAGGTGCGCCGTGCCGAGTGCGCGCGGCTGCAGGCCAAGTACCCGGCGCACGTCGCCATGGTGGTGGAGGCCGCCAAGAGCAGCAAGGCGCACTTCCTCGCGCTGCCCCGCGACGCCACCGTCGCCGAGCTCGAGGCGGCCGTGCGCGCCGCCCTCAGCATCAGCGCCACGAAGATGTCGCTCGCCGTCGACGGCTGCACACCAGCCGCCTCCGCCACCGTGGGCGACCTCAGCGACGCCTGCAAGCAGGCCGACGGCTTCCTGTACGTGGCGGTGCGCGCGGAGAAGGCGATGGGCGCTCTCGCGGCTCCCTGCTTCGCAAGCGACACCGTTTAATGTCTAGTACAGTGGGATTCGGCGCAGTGAAACGTCTTCTATGTGTCACAAGCACGTCGTTTTGTTGTTGTTGTTTCAGCCGTGGTGCCGCATCGGTGTCTGTGGTTGAAACTGGGCGTCTTGCGATCACGTCTGTATTTTTCCTTTTGTTTTTCTCTTCCATGAGTGTTGCCTTTCCCACGAGTTTGTATGTGCAGCGGAACGTGCTACTTCGATCTCGAGAAGGTATGTTTTATTCTGGGTGGGTCTGATTCTTGGTGACCGGGTGCGCCTCCGCTGTCAACGACGCAGGAGCGCTTGATTGTGCGTTTGATAGCGACCCGCCGAAAATGGAAAAGAAAGGCGTCATTAGGGGGTAGGGATTCCCTGAACGTCGCCTTCTCATCGTATAGTCTGTTTTTTGTTTTTCTTCAAGACCGCACATAGTCGCTCTCCCTCTGTGCGTGTGGTTTTTTTTTTTTCATATAGCCGGGGTTTCTTTGACGCGCTGCGTTTTCTTAATGTTCGCAGATGTTGGGACTTCCGCGCAGACAAGTGCGCACCCGATTAAAGAAGCGCGCCTCGAGGATTATTGTAGGTGCTCCAACGTTACATTCCTGGATCGCCTCGCGCTGTTTCATCCCTCTCCCCTTTTTATTAAACTCTTTTTTTCTTTGCTTTTCATTTCTTTCGGAAAGAAGGAAAATATCATCCATCTTGCGCACAGCCCACTGTTCATTTCTTGTTCCTTTGCTTTCTACAAAAGGGGCACGTTCATATTTTTTTTCTTTCTTTCTTTCTTCGGGTCGTTCTCGGCAACGTTCCTCCGAACGGCGGTGGGTGTTAAGCTTCTGCAACAGTATGTATGAAATGAAATAGAAGAAGAGTATGCGTATTCCCAATAGTTACGCTGTGCCGCAACATCAATATTGGTTCTTCTGTTCTTTTGTTTAACCCGTCGCCAAGAATCATGTGAAAGGAAAGAAAAAGACAACGAGAAAGGGAAACAGTTCTCACCATCTTGTGTGGGAATACCCTAGTAGCACCCCGTCCCGACAAGCCTTATGAAACGCGAGGGCGGTTAATGGCGCCTCTTCTGGAAAGTCAACACGGAAGTGCAGGAGTTTCCACCAGTCTTTTATGGGGAGACTGTTCTTTTACATTGGCTTGAAGCTGCCTGTTGAGCAACGACCTTGGAGCTGTCTGTGCTAGCTGGCAATGACAACTAACAACCTCAAACTTCTCTGTCTATTCCCTCCTCTCATCACGTCGCGGAAAACACATAAATCGGTCAAATGGCACTCCACCGTGAAGACACATTTGGGGGGTTAAGGATAAAGTTTATACGAATCCTCTAATGTTGTCGTTTTCTGGCCCTCAGTTGTCTTTCTTGTCGCGGTACAAATCATTCTTGTTCTTTTGCACCAGCGGTCGCTTAACTCTCCTCAGGCTTTGAAGGAGTTTGAGTGATTCTTTCTTCTATGCAGTTCAAGCGATTGGTTTACCTGGGGGGGTCCGTGTTCTCGTTACGGTGGTTGATCGTGGCGTAAACCCATGCGTTGCCTTTTTATTCCTCTCTCTCATTTTCTTTTCTTCATTCTTTCTTTAATCATCCCAAATGACTTTTATGTGGGCTCTCGCGGCGTGGCAGTTGCTAGCGTCTTTTTTTGTTGTTTTTCGTGACCTGCACGTCCCCCCCCCTCCTCGCCGTGAATTGCAGCCGCAGCAGCTTCCGATTGAAATTAGTGTGTCGGCGCGTCATCGTTGCCTGTGCGGGTCGTGCAGAAGGTCGCACCTCTCACGCACGAGTACCGTGGATGGCGATCCTATGGCCATTGAGCCAGCAATCCACAGCCAGGCGTTTGTTCTCGCGCGTCCAATGACACAACAAGCGGGGAAGAGGGGGGAATGATTCGTGTGGCAGAAATTCGACGTACGCGGAGCTCTCATCGCTGAGGCGTTGATCGAGGGCGACGGTGTCATGAACGTGGCGTGTTGTCCTCGACCGGAGCATGAGGAAACAGCACTAACTGTTCGCACGCGTGCGGAGCAACGTGTCGTGGCCTGTCCAGGTCACATAAATACTGTACGTAAAGCAGGTTTTTTTTTTGATACCTGTCAGTTCTACTCCGCTGCCATTTTACTATTGTCTGCGAGTGAATCTGCAATACTCTTTCTCTCACCCCACCCCACACCCAAATTTGGATTCACCATTACTCTGTTGAAATCGGAAAGAAAACTGTACCAGTGATTGGGACGTCCAAGTTGTCATCGTTTTCAAGCTGCCCGCGAGTTGAACCGTGAGGATTCTGCGACGTTCCATTCCACCTCAACAGAATGTGTGGCGCTGAAAGGTGTTCGCATCACTGCCGTACGCACCTTTTTTGTGGATGGATGTATTGTGTGGGCGTGTGTCTTCACTGCTCCCTCTTCATTGTGATCCCTTGTCTGTTGTCTGGTTTGCTTCCTCGCCACTCACCGCAGCATACTATAACAACGATGTGACACCGCAGCTTCCATAGAAGGCAAAAAAAACTTTATTATCCTTCACATATTAACGTCATCTTTCATTGTTTCAAGTGTCGGAAGAACTCTCTCTCTAGTTCGACTGACCGTGATCACCTTCTGTTCCGGAGTTTAGCAAGAAGAAAGTACGGTCTTCTCCATGGCCAGTTATCGTGATGCAGTGAGTCTGGAAGACCGCAAGTTGGAGTCGCAGCGGCTGCTCCTGAAGTACCCCGGCCACGTCGCTGTGGTGGTGAAGCAGGTCGGCAAGGAAACAAAGGTGCACCTCCTCGCGTTGCCAGGTGATGCCACAGTGGCGGAGCTTGAAGCCACCGCGGCGGAGCTGCTCGGCGTGCCGGGCACAAAGCTGGCGCTGAGTGTGTCCGGCTTCACGCCTGCCTCGAGTACGCTTCTTGAGGACCTGTACCGGCACTGCAAATGTGCCGATGGATTTCTTTATGTCCGGTGCGGCTTGGTAGGGACGTTGGGTGCCAGCGCTCACATTCCATGTTTTGGGACCAGCATCATCAAAGAAGATTTTTGGTGGTCTCCGGTGCCGGCGAAGATAGAAAACTAGTGTTTGGGCTTCGGCGTGAGCGTGTGCGTGTGTGTGTGTGTGTGTGTTTGGTTTCCTGTATCGTTGTTGGTGAAGGCGGTCATCAACTGCCTGGCAGAACAGACTTTTTTGCTTTTGGACCTTTCTTTTTCATTCCATTCCTTTTCCTGCGTCATTCTGTGCCGTGGCCGTTACTTGAACAAACTTGTTGTCCATATTCCCCTGCGCATCACCGGCGCGGAACCTCTAACTCCTCTTTTTTCAGTGGCTGATACTGCGATGCGTACTATTATTTGTTTTTTGCGTCGTCTTTTTCTTTTCCCTACTCTTATCTCGTTATGCTACCAAATGTGCTTCGCTCGCCGAGGAGCTCAGCACTGCAACTCGCGCTGTTGTTCTCAGTTACATGGGCACTACGGACGCTTCACCAAAGGACAGTGTACCTTCATACTCGCAAAAATCGCACTAGTGCCTTGTTGTGTGTTTTCGTTAACTGGGTTCTTCTTCTGATGGTCTATCTTTTTTAATAGGGAAGATTATTTTAGGGATAGTAGTGATACCGCCTGAGACTGATACGCTTCTCCCTTGCTTTCTCTTAAAATGATCACTAACGAACGGTCGAGTTACAACGTTCTTTTCCTTTTCTTTCGTTATGTTATTGCTTTTGCACCGCATGTGTACAGCTGCATTGGTAGCGTGCCTATATTTATTTATTTTTCTCTTCTATTATCTCTAATCCACTTCATCGCGTAAGTGGAGAGTCGGTTCACTAGAACCGCTCTCGTGTTTATGTGACAACTCAGCACCGTGTCTTTCTCTTTGTTTTTCTCCTCATCTACCTTTTTCTCATGACCGCCACTTTTTCCGCGAGGAAGAGGAGTCGCAGGTTTTGTTTTTTCTCTCCAATCTCCGTCTCGTAACGGCAATCGAATTACCTGTCAAAAAGGTCAAACACAAGAGCCTGTTCTGCCTTCTTTGCTTTTTTGTTTGTTTGTTTTGTTTTCTCTTTTTCTGTGTTTTATCGTTGTAAATCAAACGGGTTCACTGCGTCGTCAACGAAAAGACGAGCTGAACAAATGCGCCTTCCTCCCCCACTTCTTTTCCTTTTGACCGATGGTGTGCATTTGTGTCGCTGTTTCTACAACCATTTCAAAACGCCGGTGTGAACTGAGCTGCCCGCCTCGCACCCCAACAGACACGCCAGCAACGAAGCAAGACCGAGTGACCTCATCAATGACGTCGCGCGTCTGTCCTCTCTCCCTCTCTCTGTTGCTTAGCTCCCTAGGAGCGACACCAACGTCTACGTGCTGGAGAAAAAGTTTTCAAAGACACAGTAGAGCAACGACTATGACTTCATTCTATTCTTCTACACCCTGCGAAGCAGGGAGTAGGACTGTTTCCCTTCCTTCCGCCCCACGCTGCCTCAACTACGCCCTGTTGAAGCCGCTCGTGAGTGCATACTCCGCCACTACGTCAGTTGCTCGATTTCGTCTTCATTCTTCTCACCGGCGCCTTGTGTGTCTCCGTCGCGGTTGCACCCCTCCGTCAACTGCTGCTATAGCTCTACGCTATTCTGTCGTCAGCTCTTCGGAGACAACACCTTCTCTTCCCCTACGAGCTGAAATCTAAAGACTACACATCGAATCGCAACTGCTTTCAAGTCTTCACCTACAACAACGAAGTTCGACATACGTCCATGGCCGCCATCCACACCGTCTCCGCCAACCAGCTCCCCGTTGCCATCGAGTGCAACGACGGCCGCCTGCTCTTCGTCAACGTGGCGCGCGACGCCACCGTGGCCGGCCTGGAGGACACCGTGCGCGCCGCCCTCAACGGCAAGAAGCTCTCGCTCATCATCGACGGCTGCACGCCCGCCGCCGGCACCACCCTGCGCGACATCCACGAGAGCTGCAAGCGCGCCGACGGCTTCCTGTACGTGGCGGTGCGCGCGGAGAGGGCCATGGGCGGGATGGTGACGCCGTGCTTCGCGTGGGACGGCCCGTACGACCTGTAGAAGTGAGCGCGTCGCGCTGCGGTGGCTGGTGGATGCGGGCAGCCCTCCTCGTCGCCGCCGCGTCAGTCGGCTCTCTCCCTCTCCCTCCGTCTCTCGGTTGGCACCGCAGCTGCTACCCGTCTAACTCCACTCGTTTTCTTGTTTCTTTCCGTTTTCTATCACTGCGTTCTGGAGTACGCCCTGTGCACAGTCCCTCCGCCTCTTTTTCCTCTCTCTCTCTCTCTCTTCGGCGACACGCTCGCAACGCACTCGCGGAGGAATACGAGCGCCAGCGCTCATCCTCTCTCTTCCCCTTTTTCCTCCCCGTGCGCATGTGTTTCTCGCCCTCGCTTCATATGTGGATATGTATTATTTTTTGCTGTTGTAAACGGGCTGGCTTCTTTCACAGCACCACCTCTGGGAAGCACGCGTCTTGCGGTGCCGCCCCTCGGAGTCGCCACTGTGTGCACAAACGATCAGCGAAAGAGGAAGACACTTTACGCCCTGGACGGCGCTTTGGTGTTGTAGCGGCAGACTGCGTCGTGTGCTGCTGCTGCCACCACCGCGCCGCAGCTGCCTGTGCGCATGCAAGCGCGTTGCTCTTGTCAGCCGTCACAACAGCCAGGCCCGCATGCGCGGAAAGCGGCGGGACAGCTGCCGTCCGCAGCGCCATCGCCGGACACTCCCGTCGGTGCTCTATGAGCACCCTTCTGGTGCCGTCGCACTCGCTCCGTGCCCCTCCTTTTCTGTATCACCACTGCTCTCACTGCTCCTCTGCTAACCTTCTCGCCCTCGGCTCTCACAGTCCTTAACAAACAGTGCCACACACACAACACACACACACGTCAAGCCCCCGCTTCGCTGCCCTAGCATCTCCACCCACACAGCTCGCACTACTCGCTCAGCCATGGCCGCCATCCACACCGTCTCCGCCAACCAGCTCCCCGTTGCCATCGAGTGCAACGACGGCCGCCTGCTCTTCGTCAACGTGGCGCGCGACGCCACCGTGGCCGGCCTGGAGGACACCGTGCGCGCCGCCCTCAACGGCAAGAAGCTCTCGCTCATCATCGACGGCTGCACGCCCGCCGCCGGCACCACCCTGCGCGACATCCACGAGAGCTGCAAGCGCGCCGACGGCTTCCTGTACGTGGCGGTGCGCGCGGAGAGGGCCATGGGCGGGATGGTGACGCCGTGCTTCGCGTGGGACGGCCCGTACGACCTGTAGAAGTGAGCGCGTCGCGCTGCGGTGGCTGGTGGATGCGGGCAGCCCTCCTCGTCGCCGCCGCGTCAGTCGGCTCTCTCCCTCTCCCTCCGTCTCTCGGTTGGCACCGCAGCTGCTACCCGTCTAACTCCACTCGTTTTCTTGTTTCTTTCCGTTTTCTATCACTGCGTTCTGGAGTACGCCCTGTGCACAGTCCCTCCGCCTCTTTTTCCTCTCTCTCTCTCTCTCTTCGGCGACACGCTCGCAACGCACTCGCGGAGGAATACGAGCGCCAGCGCTCATCCTCTCTCTTCCCCTTTTTCCTCCCCGTGCGCATGTGTTTCTCGCCCTCGCTTCATATGTGGATATGTATTATTTTTTGCTGTTGTAAACGGGCTGGCTTCTTTCACAGCACCACCTCTGGGAAGCACGCGTCTTGCGGTGCCGCCCCTCGGAGTCGCCACTGTGTGCACAAACGATCAGCGAAAGAGGAAGACACTTTACGCCCTGGACGGCGCTTTGGTGTTGTAGCGGCAGACTGCGTCGTGTGCTGCTGCTGCCACCACCGCGCCGCAGCTGCCTGTGCGCATGCAAGCGCGTTGCTCTTGTCAGCCGTCACAACAGCCAGGCCCGCATGCGCGGAAAGCGGCGGGACAGCTGCCGTCCGCAGCGCCATCGCCGGACACTCCCGTCGGTGCTCTATGAGCACCCTTCTGGTGCCGTCGCACTCGCTCCGTGCCCCTCCTTTTCTGTATCACCACTGCTCTCACTGCTCCTCTGCTAACCTTCTCGCCCTCGGCTCTCACAGTCCTTAACAAACAGTGCCACACACACAACACACACACACGTCAAGCCCCCGCTTCGCTGCCCTAGCATCTCCACCCACACAGCTCGCACTACTCGCTCAGCCATGGCCGCCATCCACACCGTCTCCGCCAACCAGCTCCCCGTTGCCATCGAGTGCAACGACGGCCGCCTGCTCTTCGTCAACGTGGCGCGCGACGCCACCGTGGCCGGCCTGGAGGACACCGTGCGCGCCGCCCTCAACGGCAAGAAGCTCTCGCTCATCATCGACGGCTGCACGCCCGCCGCCGGCACCACCCTGCGCGACATCCACGAGAGCTGCAAGCGCGCCGACGGCTTCCTGTACGTGGCGGTGCGCGCGGAGAGGGCCATGGGCGGGATGGTGACGCCGTGCTTCGCGTGGGACGGCCCGTACGACCTGTAGAAGTGAGCGCGTCGCGCTGCGGTGGCTGGTGGATGCGGGCAGCCCTCCTCGTCGCCGCCGCGTCAGTCGGCTCTCTCCCTCTCCCTCCGTCTCTCGGTTGGCACCGCAGCTGCTACCCGTCTAACTCCACTCGTTTTCTTGTTTCTTTCCGTTTTCTATCACTGCGTTCTGGAGTACGCCCTGTGCACAGTCCCTCCGCCTCTTTTTCCTCTCTCTCTCTCTCTCTTCGGCGACACGCTCGCAACGCACTCGCGGAGGAATACGAGCGCCAGCGCTCATCCTCTCTCTTCCCCTTTTTCCTCCCCGTGCGCATGTGTTTCTCGCCCTCGCTTCATATGTGGATATGTATTATTTTTTGCTGTTGTAAACGGGCTGGCTTCTTTCACAGCACCACCTCTGGGAAGCACGCGTCTTGCGGTGCCGCCCCTCGGAGTCGCCACTGTGTGCACAAACGATCAGCGAAAGAGGAAGACACTTTACGCCCTGGACGGCGCTTTGGTGTTGTAGCGGCAGACTGCGTCGTGTGCTGCTGCTGCCACCACCGCGCCGCAGCTGCCTGTGCGCATGCAAGCGCGTTGCTCTTGTCAGCCGTCACAACAGCCAGGCCCGCATGCGCGGAAAGCGGCGGGACAGCTGCCGTCCGCAGCGCCATCGCCGGACACTCCCGTCGGTGCTCTATGAGCACCCTTCTGGTGCCGTCGCACTCGCTCCGTGCCCCTCCTTTTCTGTATCACCACTGCTCTCACTGCTCCTCTGCTAACCTTCTCGCCCTCGGCTCTCACAGTCCTTAACAAACAGTGCCACACACACAACACACACACACGTCAAGCCCCCGCTTCGCTGCCCTAGCATCTCCACCCACACAGCTCGCACTACTCGCTCAGCCATGGCCGCCATCCACACCGTCTCCGCCAACCAGCTCCCCGTTGCCATCGAGTGCAACGACGGCCGCCTGCTCTTCGTCAACGTGGCGCGCGACGCCACCGTGGCCGGCCTGGAGGACACCGTGCGCGCCGCCCTCAACGGCAAGAAGCTCTCGCTCATCATCGACGGCTGCACGCCCGCCGCCGGCACCACCCTGCGCGACATCCACGAGAGCTGCAAGCGCGCCGACGGCTTCCTGTACGTGGCGGTGCGCGCGGAGAGGGCCATGGGCGGGATGGTGACGCCGTGCTTCGCGTGGGACGGCCCGTACGACCTGTAGAAGTGAGCGCGTCGCGCTGCGGTGGCTGGTGGATGCGGGCAGCCCTCCTCGTCGCCGCCGCGTCAGTCGGCTCTCTCCCTCTCCCTCCGTCTCTCGGTTGGCACCGCAGCTGCTACCCGTCTAACTCCACTCGTTTTCTTGTTTCTTTCCGTTTTCTATCACTGCGTTCTGGAGTACGCCCTGTGCACAGTCCCTCCGCCTCTTTTTCCTCTCTCTCTCTCTCTCTTCGGCGACACGCTCGCAACGCACTCGCGGAGGAATACGAGCGCCAGCGCTCATCCTCTCTCTTCCCCTTTTTCCTCCCCGTGCGCATGTGTTTCTCGCCCTCGCTTCATATGTGGATATGTATTATTTTTTGCTGTTGTAAACGGGCTGGCTTCTTTCACAGCACCACCTCTGGGAAGCACGCGTCTTGCGGTGCCGCCCCTCGGAGTCGCCACTGTGTGCACAAACGATCAGCGAAAGAGGAAGACACTTTACGCCCTGGACGGCGCTTTGGTGTTGTAGCGGCAGACTGCGTCGTGTGCTGCTGCTGCCACCACCGCGCCGCAGCTGCCTGTGCGCATGCAAGCGCGTTGCTCTTGTCAGCCGTCACAACAGCCAGGCCCGCATGCGCGGAAAGCGGCGGGACAGCTGCCGTCCGCAGCGCCATCGCCGGACACTCCCGTCGGTGCTCTATGAGCACCCTTCTGGTGCCGTCGCACTCGCTCCGTGCCCCTCCTTTTCTGTATCACCACTGCTCTCACTGCTCCTCTGCTAACCTTCTCGCCCTCGGCTCTCACAGTCCTTAACAAACAGTGCCACACACACAACACACACACACGTCAAGCCCCCGCTTCGCTGCCCTAGCATCTCCACCCACACAGCTCGCACTACTCGCTCAGCCATGGCCGCCATCCACACCGTCTCCGCCAACCAGCTCCCCGTTGCCATCGAGTGCAACGACGGCCGCCTGCTCTTCGTCAACGTGGCGCGCGACGCCACCGTGGCCGGCCTGGAGGACACCGTGCGCGCCGCCCTCAACGGCAAGAAGCTCTCGCTCATCATCGACGGCTGCACGCCCGCCGCCGGCACCACCCTGCGCGACATCCACGAGAGCTGCAAGCGCGCCGACGGCTTCCTGTACGTGGCGGTGCGCGCGGAGAGGGCCATGGGCGGGATGGTGACGCCGTGCTTCGCGTGGGACGGCCCGTACGACCTGTAGAAGTGAGCGCGTCGCGCTGCGGTGGCTGGTGGATGCGGGCAGCCCTCCTCGTCGCCGCCGCGTCAGTCGGCTCTCTCCCTCTCCCTCCGTCTCTCGGTTGGCACCGCAGCTGCTACCCGTCTAACTCCACTCGTTTTCTTGTTTCTTTCCGTTTTCTATCACTGCGTTCTGGAGTACGCCCTGTGCACAGTCCCTCCGCCTCTTTTTCCTCTCTCTCTCTCTCTCTTCGGCGACACGCTCGCAACGCACTCGCGGAGGAATACGAGCGCCAGCGCTCATCCTCTCTCTTCCCCTTTTTCCTCCCCGTGCGCATGTGTTTCTCGCCCTCGCTTCATATGTGGATATGTATTATTTTTTGCTGTTGTAAACGGGCTGGCTTCTTTCACAGCACCACCTCTGGGAAGCACGCGTCTTGCGGTGCCGCCCCTCGGAGTCGCCACTGTGTGCACAAACGATCAGCGAAAGAGGAAGACACTTTACGCCCTGGACGGCGCTTTGGTGTTGTAGCGGCAGACTGCGTCGTGTGCTGCTGCTGCCACCACCGCGCCGCAGCTGCCTGTGCGCATGCAAGCGCGTTGCTCTTGTCAGCCGTCACAACAGCCAGGCCCGCATGCGCGGAAAGCGGCGGGACAGCTGCCGTCCGCAGCGCCATCGCCGGACACTCCCGTCGGTGCTCTATGAGCACCCTTCTGGTGCCGTCGCACTCGCTCCGTGCCCCTCCTTTTCTGTATCACCACTGCTCTCACTGCTCCTCTGCTAACCTTCTCGCCCTCGGCTCTCACAGTCCTTAACAAACAGTGCCACACACACAACACACACACACGTCAAGCCCCCGCTTCGCTGCCCTAGCATCTCCACCCACACAGCTCGCACTACTCGCTCAGCCATGGCCGCCATCCACACCGTCTCCGCCAACCAGCTCCCCGTTGCCATCGAGTGCAACGACGGCCGCCTGCTCTTCGTCAACGTGGCGCGCGACGCCACCGTGGCCGGCCTGGAGGACACCGTGCGCGCCGCCCTCAACGGCAAGAAGCTCTCGCTCATCATCGACGGCTGCACGCCCGCCGCCGGCACCACCCTGCGCGACATCCACGAGAGCTGCAAGCGCGCCGACGGCTTCCTGTACGTGGCGGTGCGCGCGGAGAGGGCCATGGGCGGGATGGTGACGCCGTGCTTCGCGTGGGACGGCCCGTACGACCTGTAGAAGTGAGCGCGTCGCGCTGCGGTGGCTGGTGGATGCGGGCAGCCCTCCTCGTCGCCGCCGCGTCAGTCGGCTCTCTCCCTCTCCCTCCGTCTCTCGGTTGGCACCGCAGCTGCTACCCGTCTAACTCCACTCGTTTTCTTGTTTCTTTCCGTTTTCTATCACTGCGTTCTGGAGTACGCCCTGTGCACAGTCCCTCCGCCTCTTTTTCCTCTCTCTCTCTCTCTCTTCGGCGACACGCTCGCAACGCACTCGCGGAGGAATACGAGCGCCAGCGCTCATCCTCTCTCTTCCCCTTTTTCCTCCCCGTGCGCATGTGTTTCTCGCCCTCGCTTCATATGTGGATATGTATTATTTTTTGCTGTTGTAAACGGGCTGGCTTCTTTCACAGCACCACCTCTGGGAAGCACGCGTCTTGCGGTGCCGCCCCTCGGAGTCGCCACTGTGTGCACAAACGATCAGCGAAAGAGGAAGACACTTTACGCCCTGGACGGCGCTTTGGTGTTGTAGCGGCAGACTGCGTCGTGTGCTGCTGCTGCCACCACCGCGCCGCAGCTGCCTGTGCGCATGCAAGCGCGTTGCTCTTGTCAGCCGTCACAACAGCCAGGCCCGCATGCGCGGAAAGCGGCGGGACAGCTGCCGTCCGCAGCGCCATCGCCGGACACTCCCGTCGGTGCTCTATGAGCACCCTTCTGGTGCCGTCGCACTCGCTCCGTGCCCCTCCTTTTCTGTATCACCACTGCTCTCACTGCTCCTCTGCTAACCTTCTCGCCCTCGGCTCTCACAGTCCTTAACAAACAGTGCCACACACACAACACACACACACGTCAAGCCCCCGCTTCGCTGCCCTAGCATCTCCACCCACACAGCTCGCACTACTCGCTCAGCCATGGCCGCCATCCACACCGTCTCCGCCAACCAGCTCCCCGTTGCCATCGAGTGCAACGACGGCCGCCTGCTCTTCGTCAACGTGGCGCGCGACGCCACCGTGGCCGGCCTGGAGGACACCGTGCGCGCCGCCCTCAACGGCAAGAAGCTCTCGCTCATCATCGACGGCTGCACGCCCGCCGCCGGCACCACCCTGCGCGACATCCACGAGAGCTGCAAGCGCGCCGACGGCTTCCTGTACGTGGCGGTGCGCGCGGAGAGGGCCATGGGCGGGATGGTGACGCCGTGCTTCGCGTGGGACGGCCCGTACGACCTGTAGAAGTGAGCGCGTCGCGCTGCGGTGGCTGGTGGATGCGGGCAGCCCTCCTCGTCGCCGCCGCGTCAGTCGGCTCTCTCCCTCTCCCTCCGTCTCTCGGTTGGCACCGCAGCTGCTACCCGTCTAACTCCACTCGTTTTCTTGTTTCTTTCCGTTTTCTATCACTGCGTTCTGGAGTACGCCCTGTGCACAGTCCCTCCGCCTCTTTTTCCTCTCTCTCTCTCTCTCTTCGGCGACACGCTCGCAACGCACTCGCGGAGGAATACGAGCGCCAGCGCTCATCCTCTCTCTTCCCCTTTTTCCTCCCCGTGCGCATGTGTTTCTCGCCCTCGCTTCATATGTGGATATGTATTATTTTTTGCTGTTGTAAACGGGCTGGCTTCTTTCACAGCACCACCTCTGGGAAGCACGCGTCTTGCGGTGCCGCCCCTCGGAGTCGCCACTGTGTGCACAAACGATCAGCGAAAGAGGAAGACACTTTACGCCCTGGACGGCGCTTTGGTGTTGTAGCGGCAGACTGCGTCGTGTGCTGCTGCTGCCACCACCGCGCCGCAGCTGCCTGTGCGCATGCAAGCGCGTTGCTCTTGTCAGCCGTCACAACAGCCAGGCCCGCATGCGCGGAAAGCGGCGGGACAGCTGCCGTCCGCAGCGCCATCGCCGGACACTCCCGTCGGTGCTCTATGAGCACCCTTCTGGTGCCGTCGCACTCGCTCCGTGCCCCTCCTTTTCTGTATCACCACTGCTCTCACTGCTCCTCTGCTAACCTTCTCGCCCTCGGCTCTCACAGTCCTTAACAAACAGTGCCACACACACAACACACACACACGTCAAGCCCCCGCTTCGCTGCCCTAGCATCTCCACCCACACAGCTCGCACTACTCGCTCAGCCATGGCCGCCATCCACACCGTCTCCGCCAACCAGCTCCCCGTTGCCATCGAGTGCAACGACGGCCGCCTGCTCTTCGTCAACGTGGCGCGCGACGCCACCGTGGCCGGCCTGGAGGACACCGTGCGCGCCGCCCTCAACGGCAAGAAGCTCTCGCTCATCATCGACGGCTGCACGCCCGCCGCCGGCACCACCCTGCGCGACATCCACGAGAGCTGCAAGCGCGCCGACGGCTTCCTGTACGTGGCGGTGCGCGCGGAGAGGGCCATGGGCGGGATGGTGACGCCGTGCTTCGCGTGGGACGGCCCGTACGACCTGTAGAAGTGAGCGCGTCGCGCTGCGGTGGCTGGTGGATGCGGGCAGCCCTCCTCGTCGCCGCCGCGTCAGTCGGCTCTCTCCCTCTCCCTCCGTCTCTCGGTTGGCACCGCAGCTGCTACCCGTCTAACTCCACTCGTTTTCTTGTTTCTTTCCGTTTTCTATCACTGCGTTCTGGAGTACGCCCTGTGCACAGTCCCTCCGCCTCTTTTTCCTCTCTCTCTCTCTCTCTTCGGCGACACGCTCGCAACGCACTCGCGGAGGAATACGAGCGCCAGCGCTCATCCTCTCTCTTCCCCTTTTTCCTCCCCGTGCGCATGTGTTTCTCGCCCTCGCTTCATATGTGGATATGTATTATTTTTTGCTGTTGTAAACGGGCTGGCTTCTTTCACAGCACCACCTCTGGGAAGCACGCGTCTTGCGGTGCCGCCCCTCGGAGTCGCCACTGTGTGCACAAACGATCAGCGAAAGAGGAAGACACTTTACGCCCTGGACGGCGCTTTGGTGTTGTAGCGGCAGACTGCGTCGTGTGCTGCTGCTGCCACCACCGCGCCGCAGCTGCCTGTGCGCATGCAAGCGCGTTGCTCTTGTCAGCCGTCACAACAGCCAGGCCCGCATGCGCGGAAAGCGGCGGGACAGCTGCCGTCCGCA